GCGCGATCTCGGCTCACCGCAACCTCTGCCTCCTGGGTTCCAGCAATTCTCCTGCCTCAGCCTCCTGAGTAGCTGGGATTACAGACATGCGCCACCATGCCCAGATAATGTTTTGTATTTTTAGTAGAGACAGGGTTTCACCATGTTGTCCAGGATGGTCTCGATCTCTTGACCTCGTGATCCACCCGCCTCGGCCTCCCAAAGTGCTGGGATTACAGACTTGAGCCACCGCGCCCGGCTAGAACTTAGGATTTTATCTCTTACAACTTGCCATTGTTACAACTGGATACCCCTGCCCCTTAGTCACGTGTATATATCTAATTTGTATTCGTATAACTCATTGCTTTTAAAAATACACTTCTCTTACCTAGTTGCTGATGCTCAAAATACATGCTTGCATCATTTTAAGTGAATGCCTAGTATACTACTGTATGAATAGACCATAATTTAACCAGTGAACTCTTTTTTTTTTTTTTTAGACAGAGTCTCAATCTGATGCCCAGACTGGAGTGCAGTGATGTGATCTTGGCTCAGTGTAACCTCTGCCTCCCGGGTTCAAGCGATTCTCCTGCCTCAGACTCCCAAGTAGCTGGAATTACAGGCACCCACCACCACGCCCAACTAATTTTTGTATTTTTAATAGAGGTGAGGTTTCACCATGTTGGCCAGTCTGGTCTCGAACTCCTGACCAGATCCACCTACCTCGGCCTCCCAAAGTACTGAGATTACAGGTGCTCGCCACCATATCTGGCTAATTTTTGTATTTTTAGTAGAGACAGGGTTTCACCATGTGGGCTAGGCAGGTCTTGAATTCCTGAGATCAGGCAATCTGCTCCACCTCTGCCTCCCAAAGTGCTGGGATTACAGGCGTGAGCCACTGTGCCCCGCCCCTACCCATCTTTTAAAGGGATACCCCGAATGTCTATGAAAACTCAGATACAACTGAACTAAGTTTGAATCCACTTATACTACAGTTTTTTTGTCAACTCTCTGTTTCTTAAGAACTTTGACAACTGTACTGGGTTGGTCAGTGCAGTGTTGCCCCCGAAATTCAAGTCCTTCTTGGAACCTCAAAATGTGACCTTATTTGGAAAGAGGGTCATTGCAGATGTAATTAGTCATGATCAGGTCATACTGGAGTAAGGTAAGCCTTTTACTTAACAAGACTGGTGTCCTTATAAAAGACACAGAGACAGAGACACACAGGGAGTATACCATTTGATAATAGGGGAAAGAGAATGGAGTAATACAGTTAAAGCCAAAGAACATCAACGATTGCTGGCTTCCACCACAAACTAGGAAGAGGCAGGAAGGATTCTATCCAAAGTCTCAGAAGAAGCAAGGCCCCACTGACATCTTAATTTCTGACTCCCCGACTCCAGAAAGTGAGAAAATATATCTGTTGATTTAAACTATTCAGCGTGTGGTACTCGGTTATGGCAGCTTCAGAAAACTAACATAATGGCAATTTCAATTTCTACTTTATATTCCTAGCCCCAAGAGTACCATGTGGATATTAGAGTACAGGATTAGGTAGCCTCTCAATCTCTTTCATGGTAAAAGAATGGCTGGGCTTCCAGCAGTGGCCAAGAACTGCCAGACGCTTATGAGCGTCTCCTGCGAGATGCTTGTACAGTGAATGCTCAATAAAGTGGTGACCACTATAACCGTAAGCTACGGGGCTACACAGATAAACAGTAAGAAACCAAATGCAAGGGGCAGCAGGAGCAAAGAGAAACAAGGGCAGCTGAGGAAGGAAGCCTCAATTTCCCGGAGGACATCCGAGGGCAGAGGAGATGTGAGTCTGCAAGCCGTTCTCCCAGACCGCTCTGAGCGACTCCCTGCTCTCTCTCCATTCCCTACCGCCCTCGGACCCAGCAACAAGGTTCCCGTGCTGGGCTTCCCTGAGTCGAAGCCAACCCTCCTCCTAAGCAATATCAACCAGGTTCTGAGCCTGCGCGCAGCGCCCCGGCGCATCCGGTTACATCCCGCTGGTGCGTAGGGCGGGACTTCCTCTCCCGCCCAGGAAACGGGAAGGGCTCTTCCGCCGGAAAAAGAGTGGATTTACTACGAAGATGGCACATTGGAGGGGCCGTCGCCTGCAGTAAGGCCGGTCCTTGGCCACCCGGCGGAGCCGGTGACAGCAGCGCCCTGGAAGGCAGGCAGCCGTATCAGGTTTCAGAGGATGCGGCAGAGAACGGGAGTAGAGGTGAGGGGTTGTATCTATAGCGGCGTGTATCTTTTGGGGGGGTCAGCGCCACCAGCGACGTGGGCCCCATTCCTAGTTCATTGCACTTGCATTTCTCCACCTCGTTTGAAGAACGAGCTTGGTAGCCAACGGAGCTGAGGTAAGTGTAAATGCGGAAAGGAGAAATATCCACTCACCAGACTAAAGTTTAAGGAAACTTCAGTTTTCATATAGGCGGTGCTATCTTGTGTCCCTAAAGGGCCTGCGCAAACCCAGACGTTCTGAATCGGTGACGCCTCCTGGAGGCAACAGCACCTGTTGCATAAATTTGAAAACACACACACGGAGTTGGTAATTCTTAAGCTTCCTGAATCTGCTGGCAGTCATTTGGTATCCGAAGCAGAGCAAAGCCATCTTGGTCATCTCCCTCCTTTCAGCTTAAACTGAAGCGTGGTGAGGGGAGACAGGCCGTAAGTTATACAGCTTGTTAATAGCAGCGTCGGGAGTGAAAGCGCGATTTCTTCATTTTCAGCCCGGAATTCTTTGTTCTACACCATACTGTTTCTTTGCCGTACTATTTCTTTGCATTGCTAGACAATTCGTCTTTTTTTACGAGGTGGATAAGGAGTTGAGGAGTGAAGAGAGTAATAATGTACGTCTATATAGGGTATAAATCCATGAAAGGCAGTCAGTGTGTGTGAGGATTTAGAATTGTGCCAATCATCTACATCTTTCATATTTTATAGACGGAGATGAGACTGTCATGTTGCTTTTTTTTTTGAGACATTGTCTTGCTCTGTCGTCTAGGCTGGAGTGCAGTGGCGTGATCTCGGCTCGCTGCAACCCATGTCGCGCGGGTTTAAGCAGTTCTCTGTCTCAGCTTCCCAAGCAGCTGCGATTACAGGTGCGTGCCACCACACCTGGCTAATTTTTGTATTTTTAGTAGAGATGGGGGTTTCACTATCTTGGCCAGGCTGGTCTTGAACTCCTGACCTCGTGATCCACCCAAAGTGCTGGGATTATAGGTGTGAGCCACTGTGCCCAGCCCATGTCGTTTCTGTCATTTACCTTTTAGCAACAGATGTGTAGTAACAATATGTGACGAAGGAACTTTCATTGCTTGTTACATATATTTACCCAGAGCGGCCTGGGGTTCATTGAACAAGCTATGTGCTCGCCCTAGAAAACGGATTCTGTAAAGTACACTGCAGTCAAACCCCAGTTGTCTTCTCAAGTAATCTTACACTTGGTGCTGGTGTGGCTTAAGTTTCTTGTGCATTATTGCAATCATCTCTCTCATGTTACGAAATGGAAATGTGTTGCAGGACAGTGGCAAGCCTGTGAAGAAAGTAAGTGAGCCCGAGGCCCAGAAAGCAATCTATACATTAGCAAATATTGAAAAACTGTTCACATCACATAGTGGGTGTCTTAAGTACTGAGGAACTCATTCAACCAGATATTTATTTTGGGGAAGCCATAAATAGCCTCCCTCTCCTGGGTTCAAGTGATTCTCTGCCTTGGCCTCCTGAGTAGCTGGGATTAGAGGTGTGTGCCACCATACCCAGCTAATTTTTGTTTTTGTTTTTTTTTTTGTTTGTTTTTTTGAGATGGAGTCTTGCTCTGTCACCCAGGCTGGAGTGCAGTGGTGCAATCTCGGCTCACTGCGACCTCTGCCTCCTGGGTTCAAGCGATTCTCCTACCTCAGCCTCCCGAGTAGCTGGGATTACAGGGGTGTGTCACCACATTGGCCTAGTTTTTATATTTTTAGTAGAGACGGGGTCTCAGCGTGTTGGCCAGGATGGTCTTGAACTCCTGACCTCAGGTGATCCTCCAGCCCCAGCCTCCCACAGTGCTGGGATTACAGGCATGAGCTACTGCATCCAGCCCCTATATAAACAATTTTCAAACTTGTTCGTCGCAAGACTCAAGTTATTTAGGACTCCAAAGAGCCTTTGTTTATGTGGTTTATATGAAAATAGTTTTGACTTCACTAACCCCCAGAAGGGCTCTCAGAAGCCCCCCACAGAGACCACACTTTTAAGAACTGCTTTATGCAAATGTTTCAAAGAAATTTTACATTATGTAGATGAATGATTGCTGTCACAAGTGATTGTGACATGAGAAGAAGTATCACCTTAAAAATGCAACAACAAGCACAGTAGCTTGTATTTTCAGTAGCTGTATATTTCCAGGCACAGAGAACACAAGCAGATATCTATTTTTAATTATTTTCTTGGTTTTTTGAGACAACCTCACTGTCACCCAGGGTGGAGTGCATTGGCGCAATCATAGCTCACTGGCAGCCTCTACCTCCTGAGCTCAAGAGCTCCTGTATGTCAGCCTCCTGAGTAGCTGGGGCCACAGGTGTGTGCTACCACCCTGGCTAAAGAAACAACAACAAAAAAGGTTTTGTAGAGATGGGGTCTTTTTGTGTTGCCCAGACTGGTTTCAAACTCCTGAGCTTAAGCAATCCTCCCACCTTGGCGTGCTGAAGTGTTGGAATTACAGGCGTCAGCCACTGCGCCTGGCCCGTAATATTTTTCTATGCTTGGAAAGTTTTTTATTAATCAGCTAGGATACTTCTCTGCAAAAATAAACATATTTAACTTGAGATTTAAAATTTTCTCAGCCAAATGTGGTGGTTCGCATCTGTAATCTCAGCACTTTGGGAGGACGAGGTGGGTGGATTGCTTGCGGTTAGGGGTTTGAGACCAGCCTGGGCAACAGGGCAACCCCATTTGTACAACACCGCACCCAGCCATTTTGTATTCTCTTTATTCCATTGCTTTTTTTTTTTTTTTTTTT